CTGTCCGTGTATCTCGCTCCCATCCCGTACCCTATTGTCCTGTCCATTGGTTCCACTCATTCATTTACTTGTTATAAGGAGATCAGGAAGAAGAATTGTCATGGCGTCTGGACTTGGCGCCCAGTACTAAATGCTTGGGTACTGCAGCGAAAAGGCATCGGGGGAGTATTAGTTCTTGATGAGACCGGTACTTCCGAGCTTGCGAAATTCATTAAACGTCTTTTCCAAATTTGGTTTTCATCGATTCAACGTTTCATGCAAACAAGTGTGGTCGTTGGCCAGCTTGTAGTACTTCGCCCACGAACAGCACATAAAAAATTAAGAAATCCGTGATAACTTTGTGTTGGCATGGCCCCCAACCTTATAATGAATTTCTTCGGTTTTGCTTAGCGCGCTCAAGAGTTGATGGGGCATTTAAATTTGGGATGTATCGCCGTTGCGCCGGATATCCCTGTATGCAAAACAGTAAGATCTCGCGAGAGTATTTTCAAGTTTTTATGGTAATTCTTACTATTCGGTTATACATTTTCGCTCAACCCAGTGACCGATTTCTTGTGATAGACAGGGTGATGGCAGTGCGAGAAAGGTAGTGAGTCATAAGTACTCATACTGGAGTGTCTAAACATCAGTCATCGGTATTCGCTGATGGCGATAGCTGATGAAGGAAAGTGCTGGCGTTGGATCCGTGGCATTAGTAATGCTGGCAAATAAAGGAGTCGCTGGTACGGGTTAATCTCAGCCCTGATTGCTTCTTGGATTTGAATTCTATCAGTTTGCTTTCCAAGGATCATTTGCTGAAGCCTTCTGGTTGCAGTCCCTCTCAGCCAACCAAGAATACCAGGAGTGCTCGGACTATTAGTGTGTTACTGTGCAGCTATGCTAGGCCGGACCTTCGATCTTGGTTTGCATACCTTCAATTAATACTTGCCGCTCGTGCTATTTATATGTGTTACGTCTTGAAGGGTCACCGGAGTGAGCACCACTCATTAATTGCTGCATAAACATGCACTTCACTGACTATAAATTGCCGTGTTTTTTAAGAAGCCGATCATTCGCAGGCTCCAGCGATCGCCTCGGTCGGTGCCTCATCTTCAGCAGCCACTGCTGCATTTTGTGTGATGAGAAAGACGCACTGATAACACAATATGCGGCGTTAAAGGTGTTCAGGAATGTGTTCGCTGTGTCATCAGCAAGCTTGCTCACCC